CTCGCGGCGCGACGCGGCCGAGAGAGCGACCAAGACAGCGTTGCCTGCTTAATTGGGGATGAAATGTTGAAGCGATCTAGGCGTCGGCGGGGACGTCGGGGGTGAAAACACCTCCCTGCAGACAATGCAGCAGTGTTGGCGTCATCCCCTGGGGCATTAATAATGAGAAGGGGGGGGGGGAGACCGGGGCACAGATGCGATACGTCCCCACCCCCCTGCCGCACTGCCCCTCGCTGAGTGGAGAGAGCCGCACCTTATGGTGAAACATGGCGGAGGTTCCCTTTCTCGGTTCGAGAGTCTGTCTCCCTGTCGCCACTATAATACAGAGGCTGTCCGGCCCGTCCGGTCCGAAAGGCCCTCCGGCCGGCAGATGCTCATTACAAAAGCGGGCCCGCCACCGGGGGTCACCACCACCACCACCACCACCACCAGAGCGACGAAAGCGACTCTCGTCATCAGTCTGCTGCTGTCCCATTTTCAGCTCGTCCATTTACAACAGGCAGCCACTTGCAAACGACTTGCCACTCCTCGACTGGCCGCCACACTTGATTCTCGCCCCGGGGTGTGCCTGCACTGCAAACCACCACCCCCCTGCATGCATCCCCGCATGCATCCCTGCGCGAATTGGACAGTAATGCCATTGTGCGGCGGGCTGGCCTGGCCTGGCCGCATGCACCCCCCCCCCCCTTTTGTCTGCCGTCCCCTGTCCCCCGGGGCGGGGCATTTATCGGTGGAAGCCACTCAGCCAGGCCCCCGCCCCTTTGGCATGACACAATGGCGAGTAAGACACTCGTGAGTCCTGGATGCGTCAGAGAAGCGCGGGGCACGGCACGCAGTCTGCCTGGGAAACCGCTCCGCGAATTCGTTTCAAAATGCCGGACTTTGGGGCAACCCTGCGTTTCTCCGACAGGTCTGGAACACACGGGCGACGCGGCCGTCGGCAGGCGATCCCGAAGTGACAGTCCCGCACAGCCAGCAGTCCGAGAGTCGTTTTCGTCGCTCTGTCTCTCTCGCACCTGTGCGGGACGCCCCGTGAGTGCGAGGGAGACGGAGCGAGCGCCTCGTGGAAACGCGTTGGGGAAACACGGCCGGAGTGACAGCTAGAAAACATGCAGCGCGTGGCAATGCAAAGTGATACACCCAGAAAAAAGGTGTCTTGAATCAAGTCGGGCTGGCCTTGAAACAAGGCTAACTGGGCCTTGATTGCTTCAAGGCCAGAAAAGACTTGAATCAAGTCAGATATTGCCTTGTTTCGTCTTGTCGTGGGTCAAGTCATTTCGGACTTAAAACAAGTCCACGAGAAGCCTGAAACAATCTTTTTTTTGTTTTAGGCACGATGGAGCCTTGATAGCGACACAGTGTTCAAGATTTTTTAGACTTGAAATTTCTCACATCTGTTCTTAGTCTATCAGGGCCCTTTGCTCCGTTAGGGCTTGTTTCAAGAAATTTGACTGAAGCAGCCAAGGCTATCGTTGACTTGAATATAGAGCCTGGGGTGAAATACGCGTCTGGGTTTAAATTTCCCAGACGTTAAGCCCTTAAATCCATCACCCGCTAGATCTTGCCACACAGTAATTGACATAGCAGACTCTGAGACGATTCCTTACAGAAAACGACAGGAAATATGGCTAAATTTAGATGGTCACCACAGGAACGACTTTGGCGCCTTGTCACCGCCCGACGTGGTTCCGCCAGCTGCCGCAAGAGCGCGCTGCACGCGTTGTCCGCCGTCCGCTCGGGGGGCCAGCCCGGTCGCCATTAGGGTAGTTCGGAAGAGGCCCGCCGGTGGGCGGGGTCCGAGGGGATCCACTAGCATCGGTCCTGTAGGACATGATGGTACGTTTTTGGGGGGCGTCAGCGAATTTCGATTCAAGTCTGGCGCGGACTTGTTTTCGACCAGTCTTGAAACAAGATGGAGTGACTTGAAACAAACCAAATTTCAAGTCATAAAAATCAAGTCTTTTACTAAACTTGATTCAAGAAACCATTTTTTTTGGGGGTAGGCGCGTGTGCTGTTGCCAGGTTGCCACTCGGCTTGTCAAACACACGCGGCGGGGGGTCGAGGCAGACGGGCAATGATATTGGAGTGGGGGGGCCGCGGGTGGAAGGCGGCAACTGTATATATTATTATCAGGAGGGACGAAAAGAACGGGGGGCGGGGAGGGGAAAGAGAAAATGGGGGGGGGGGGGGTAGGAAAAGGGGGGCAGGCGTCCGGTTGCCTGGCACGTATGCACCGCGTAACGCGATGTGTGTGTGTGTGTGTGTGTGGCTGGGTGTGAGTGAGTGCGAAAGGGGTGCACCGAAAGAGCTACTTCTAACGGGGACCATTCATATTCAGGACGGTAAGCTGTACATTCGCAACGGTAACGGCGGAACCCACTTCGCCGGAAAATGTTGTATCGACATAATTCTTGTCCGACTTTATAGTTCTGACTTTTTTTTGGGCGTTGCGAGTGACTTACTGCTTGGAGGCAGGGGTTGAAAAAAAAAGAACACATAACAAATTAGAACTGACAACAATATTATCCACGGTGCTTCAATTTTTTGGCGTTGAATTTTTTATTTCTCGAACCATAATGTACGGCGCATTTCAGACTCTTCTTCGCAAAAAAACCTTCCCCAAAGAAATTCTTTGAGCTGCAAAGAAAGGAAGGCCTTTGCAGGACTTTTAGCCGTGTACTTTGTCGCGGGGGCCTTCAATGTGCCGTACAGTGTACCAGCCGGACGCCCCCAAATGGTCCATACGATGCCCGGTGCGCCATCCCGCCCCGCCCCGCCCCGCCCTCGCGAAGCACAACCCCAGTGCAACCCCTCAGCCAGAGCGCCGCGCCTCGCTGTACTCATTCAGTGCCAAATTCAATTCGACGCACGAATAATTCGACGGCGGAATCAAATTGGCCGGGGCACTGGCAACTCGACTGGCAGCGAGCCTACACCTGGTGGAGAGCCAAGCGGGCAGCACGGCCAGCAGGGAGGGGAGGCAAGGGTCGGCAGGAAGAGCAGCACACTGAGAGCCGCCGTCGTCGCTCTGTCTCTCTCGCACTCGGGGCGCGTCCCGTACAGGGGCGAGAGAGACAGCGACAGAAACGCCTCTCGCTGCCCTCCGCCTCCGCGGGAATACACTGCACCGGTCTTCTGGCCCACTGTGCAGGTCTACACCCCCCGCCACGTGGGGGACGCTACTGCTGCATAAAACCGACAGGCGAAGTGCCGCCGAAGGGCGACCGAAGGGAGGCGCGCGGGATTAGGCCACGTCCCTGTTTCCCTATTCGAAAGGGCGTCGCTCGGCCACACCGGATGCTGCCATGTTTTCGCAGGCTTCGCAGGTACGCGTCGCGACGCGTCGCGGAGAGGCAGCGCGCTGGCACACTGGTACATCAGTATATACCCGTGGGCTGCGCTCCCGAACGGTGCTCTCCGTCTCTCTCGCACTCACGGAGCGCCCCGGAGGGGAGTGAGAGAGACAGCCAGCCGGCCGCGGTGCCGGGGATCGCTCCCCATCGCGGGGCCGGCGATGGCACACGGCAAAACACACTTTCCGCCCAGCCAGGCAGGCAGCCAGGCAGCCAGGCAGCCAGTCTCCCGCCCGTCCATCCCAGGTGTGTGTGTGCACAGTGTACAGCCTCCCCGACCCTCACCCTATCTCTCTTTTTTACAACCGCCGCACGCTTCGGCCCCTCCCTCCCCCCCCCCTCGCACCTCGTCCTTCCCTTTCCCCTCCGTCTGCATGTCTTTTCGTCATTCCCCCTCCTGCTAAAGCCGCTCATCTTGCCCCCCCTCCCTGTTTGCCCGGCCGGTCGGGGGGCAGCAAAGTTGCGAGCCCGGCAGCCGAAATAATGAGAAAGTTGCTAAGCGGCGCACAAGATTCGCCTCTAATATTTTCTGATTAGTTAAACGGCGCGCGCCTTGGTGCGAAGCCACGCCGCACCTTCCAGCCACCACGCCCCGGCACGAAAATAAGAGAGTCAAGCGAGGGGTGACCCACTGTAAAATTTTGTGTACAATGATTGTGTGAATGTGCAAGAATGTGCAAGATTTCTTGCTTTTTTGCCACACATGTTGCCTACTTACAGGCGTTTTTGCCACCTGAATGTGGAATGTGGTCAAATTTTGTACAACGAATGTGGGAAGCTGTTCCCACAGTCGTTCGACAGTCGTTCGACGAACTGCTTGCCGGAGCACGCCGACCTTGCCGAGGTCCTCTTCTTGTTGGTGTCGCGTGCCGCCGACCGCCACCTGCCGTCCGTCACATCTGCCAGCCTGGCCCTGGCCTGGCCAGCCTCCAACACATGAGCCCTTGACGAGCTTCACTGCGGAGCGCGGCGCGCGGCGGCCCTCGGAGTCAAGAAACCATTTTTCAGGTTGCAAGTGCCTCTCGCGGGTGGCGAGGCTCGGCGGCTCCGCATTCATTCCCCGGCCCGCAATGGACACTCTTGATTGTCTCTGTCGCACTCGCACGCTGCGCCGCCCTGCCCGACGGCACACAGGTGTGGCGGCGCGCGGCGAGACGCACGGCTTTAATTAAATTCCTGCCCGTTCCGAGAGTCATTCAGGCGGCACTGCCCTGGCACTGCCCTCTCGCTCCGTCTCTCTCGCGGTGTGTGAGAGAGGAAGAGAGGCGGAGCGACGCAAGCACTGTTCGGAATCCGACGGCCAAACTCGCATTCTTGGCGCGTTTTTTTTAATTCGCCCCGCACGCGCTGGCATCGAGTGGGGCTCACCGTCCAAGTATCACGTAACGCCACCGCATAGCTCCGTCCTCGTCGCTCCCGGCGGACTGGCGGCGAGCAGTGCGGGAGAGACAGAAGGCTGCGCCAACAGCACGCCGACCGTTTTCCCGCGCTCCGAGCGCCTGCGATGGGCGGGGTAGGCAACCCGCGCGCAGCTCGCGTCGGCGGGCGGGCATCGCGGCGTGCTCGGGCGGCGGCGGCTCTCTCTCTCTGTCTCTCTCTCTCTCTCTCTCTCTCTCTCTTTCTCGCTCTCTCGGCAGGGAACTTACTTTCTCCCTGTCATAGACGTCGTGCATGTCATGGGAGTCCAGGGCGTTCTGGACATCATGGAAGTCCTGGACGTCATGGAAGTCCTGGACATTATGAAAGTCCAGGACGTCATGGAAGTCCAGGACGTCATGGAAGTCCAGGACGTCATAGAAGTCCAGGACGTCATAGAAGTCCTGGGAGGCGCCGCGGCATTTATAGGATTCCTCGACGCCCACCCCGCGAAGCCGGGAATACCCTGCAGATATCGACCGACACATGGGGCGGGGAAGACATCGGCACCTCACACACACACACACACACACACACACACACACACACACACACACACACACACACCACACCACACCACAAAAACCCCACAGGGCAAAAAAAGAGAGAGAGAGAGAGAGAGAAGGAGAGAGAGACCTGCACGCAGTACTAATTGACGGCAACAAAGTACACACGTCTCCTGATTTGAAACATTCAACGCACTGTCGTGGAGAGAACCCTGAAGCTTGCAGGGTAGCAGTCGCAACGCTCAGCGAAACCGAACCGAGTCCAAATAAATTACACACACCTCACCTCAGCGGAAAAGCGGAATCCACTGAAAAGACCAGAGAAAAAAGGGGGAAAAAGATCAAAAAGTCAAGAAAAAAAATAAAATAAATAAATAACGGCGACGTCCTTGACGGCGCCATAAATTGCCAGAGCCATTCTGGTTTCATTCGAGAGGCGGAAGCGGAATTCAATGAGCCGTCGCTTATAGGGTGCAGGGTTAAGGGGGGAGGGGATGAAAAGAGAGAGGAGAGGAGAGGGCCAGAGAGAGAGGGGGAGGGGAGAGAGAGAGGAGGGGAGAGAGAGAGAGAGAGAGAGAGAGAGAGAGAGAGAGAGAGAGACGTCGGAACGAAACGAACAAACCCTCGAGGGCCGGCGTCGCCATCGATTATCTCGAAAAGGACTAAAAGACGCACCGGGGGATTCCTGTTGGAGTCGCGATCCGACGCTCATCGGCCGGAAAGAGAGGGGGGGGGCGGCGGAGAGGCCCGCCGGCCGATCAGAGAGGCTCTCTAGGAGTTAAGACTCCGGCCGCTCGCTCCAGTAAGCGTAATCTCCAGGCCGACGACTGACGCCAGGCCAACGGTGCGTGGCCGAATTACCAACCTTACCCGCCCGTACGTCGCAAAAACAAATGAAACCACGAGAAAAGATAATTTAAAAAGAAAAAAACACAAATGTTTTTTTCTTCAAAAAATGCAGGCGTATTTTTGAAACGTTGGGTATTTTTTGTTTTTTTGAAGGCTTATGTGCGTGGAAACGTGGCCACCCCAGAGGCAGCCAGAGGCAGCGCGCGGTGCCACGCTCCACGAGGCTTGCCGTGGATCGCCACCTCCCGGAATGGACGTGGGCTCGCACCTTCGCGGCCGAGTGCTTTCACCCCTTCTCTCTCTCTCTCTCTCTCTCTCTCTCTCTCTCTCTCACTCTCTCTCTCTCTCTCCCGCCACCCCTCGGCGCCAGCTCGTCTGGAAAGTAAAGGAAGACTGCGAGACGGCCTGCCTCCTTCTGCACCCCCTCTCTCTCCCTCCCTCCCTCCCTCTCTCTCTCTCTCTCTCTCTCTCTCCTCTCTCTCTCTCTCTCTCTCTCTCTCTCTCTCCCTCTCTCTCTCTCTCTCTCTCTCTCTCTCTCTCTCTCTCTCTCTCTGGCGAGCGCCCAGCGGGTAGGCAACGCGGTGCAGTAGCGAGTCCTGCGGGCTGGCCTACCCTCAAATTGACAGGCTGAGCAGGCCAGCACGCACCACAAACGAAGAAAAACTTTAAAAGCTCCCCAAAAAAATTAACTCAACAAGGAAATATTTGATTTTTTCTGTTTTTTTTTTGGCGTAGAAGACATCTCGCCTCGCATAAATTTTTTTTTTCGGGTGCGGTCAAAACGCGAGGCAAAGCGAAGAGGGATATGGAAAGCACAGACAAACGAGAAATCGATGTATGCAGTACCAGTGTTTTCCTTCATAACCACACCCCTGCACAAACAAATTCCCCCCTCCCCCCTCCCCTCCCCGCCCGGCTCGCCCTTTCGCCACGGAGCTCCGCTAGCGGCCGACCCCTCCAGCCAACTGCCTTCAGATCGGCCCTTCGCAGAATTCCAACGGCAAGGACCCCCCGCGACGGCCACACGTGCCTCGGGGGCGAGCGGACAGACGGACGGACAGACAGACAGGCCACATGAAAGCAGGTCGAAGGAAGATGGTCGCGGTGCAACGGAAGAAGGACACAGACCATGTTTCCCCCCCTCTGGTATCGTTGCGAAATCGCTGTGTTCCCTATGAAAGCGCGGTCGGAAAGGAAATTTATTTTAAGCGATACGCCATCGCGTCGCTCGGCGGCGCGATAGTTTGTCCGATAAAAATCAAATCAAACAGAAGGCGACGGCCTCAGCGCCGACCGAATGGCCGAGGGGCCGGCAAGCCGAAACACAAACAGTGGAGCGGACTGGGTCACGCGGGCACCGCGGCGAGAGAGAGAGGGAGAGAGAGAGAGAGCGATGCCATTGACGCGGCAGCGTGAATTTGGACGCATGCCGCACGTCGTCGCGCGCTCTCCATCATTCTTCCTCCTCGTCTTCCCGGCCGAATGGCCGAGCGGCTGACTCATTCCGAGAGTCGTTTCCGTCGCGCTGTCTCTCTCGCACTGTACAGGACGGCCCGCGAGTGCGAGAGAGGCAGAGCGACGAAAACGACCGCCAGGCGGCGGGCAGCGCGTCAGCGACATTAGTCCGGTGGCGGCGAAATTGCCGCTGCGGTGTGACAGCCTGCTTGCTTGGCCCGGCAGTGGAGGGGGCAGGGGGAGGGGGGGATGGTTAGGGCGTGAAAAGACTCTACAATGGCGGGCCAAACAATTCACCTGCCACGGCGCGCCGCGGCGTGCCACGGTGTGACAAGGGGGCCGTGCCGCGGCGTGGCGGGTTGGCGGGGCGGGTCGTTGACGACTTTATTGTAGTGCTGATTGGATCAATGAAAGCCTCGCCCGAGGCTGTCGCGGTGCGGTTCTCCGCCGACACGTTGCCGACGAGCGCGGATTGCGCAATGCCCCAGCCGGTCGAGCTGGACTCCCACCGTCATTTCGAGCGCTTCTTAAATTTTTGTGACAAAAAAGAAACTGCCCAGTAATTTAGTTTGTTCAAGTAAATTCGATTGATGCAACTGAAGCAATTTTATTACCTCGGTTTATGAAACGTTTTTGTTTCCAAACTCATTTACTTTCTTTTTTTCTGGGAGGGGGGTAGATTGCGTCGGTCCCGGGAATCTTGCTCTGGTTTGAAGGGGTAGTGGTAGAGGATGAACTACCAAAGTCGTTCTGGCGCGGCGGTACTCTGGCGGGAACACCACTACTCCCCGGTGGGAAGTGGAGCATGTGGCAGGACAATGAGTTGGTGTGGGTGGGGCGGGGCGGGGCGGGGCGGGGTGCTAGTCCGAGGGGTGCGGCGCTACGGTATAAGCAGGGCGCGCGTTCTCAGCACCACAGCAACCCCGTGAAATTGCCAAGGTGCCGGGCGGACTCCCACAAGACGTTGGCGTGCCCCAGCGTGCCCCGCGACGAGTTTACGGAAACCTCGGTGCAGTGGCAGTGCAAGTCCAAGTGTAACAAAAAAACGTGATCCGTTTGTGTTAAAAAAAGCTTTTTCTAAAAAGAGAACATTTTAAAAAATTTAGAATTGATACACAATATTTTTGTGTGAACGTGGATTGTGGACGAGGAGAAGTGGACTGGGTCATGAGTGGGGGTACTGCAAATGGAGAAAGTCCAGTAAGTGCACGTCGGCCTGGCGGGGTCTGCAGACCGATTCCGAGAGTCGTTTTCGTCGCGCTGTCTATCTCGCACCCACACAGACGACCCACGAGTGCGAGAGAGGACAGACAGCGCGACGAAAACGACTCTCGGAATCCGTCTGCTGGTGAGGCCTGGTCAGCTGCGCCGCTAAGTGCGTGAGAACCTCTCTGCTGACCCACTAGCAACCCCACGAGGGGCTGCCAGGCAGGGGCGCCCACCCGCCTCGCCGCCTCGCCGGACGCCCGTTGCGTCTCCCTCGCACGCACGCCGCGGTCCGCATACATCCACGGCCAGACCATTCGCGCCGGAACAGGCCGTAGCGATGGTGAAGTCGGCGGCCCCGGAGGGCAGGAGGGGGAAGGGAGGGGGGAGGGAGGGGGAAGGGAGGGGGAAGGGAGGAGGGAGGGAGGGGGAGGGGGCACTTGGCCACGACGTACGGTCCGACGGCTTGATTGCATACAAACGGCTTGATTTCCTCTACGCGCTGCCCCTCCTAACCTTCCCCCTCCCCCTCCCCCTCCCCCTCCCCTCCCCTCCCCTCCTCCCGCTCTCGTCGATCGCCGGCAGCGTGGCAGCCACCCCTTCCTTGGTCCAGCGGCACAGCTGCCGCCCCGCCGCGCCGTGCCGTGCCGTGCCGTGCCGTGCCACACACTGCATCACGTGTGTGGACGGACACTGCCACGAACGGACGACGGGGTGCAAAGTTTACAGTGCGATGCCAAGTCTGTTTCTGTTTTAACGAGGTGCTCTATGTGGAGAGGGTGGAGCTGGGGATCACTTAACTTACGGCAAAAGCGGCACATAAAGACAGTGGCGGATCCAGAGAGTGGGGGGGGGTGTCCTTCTGCCCACCCCTTTGAGGATGATCGTTAGCTTTCGTGTGTTTAAATGGACACGTTGTGAAGGGTAGTCAGCCTGTAGGAGTTGTATGCCGGACAAGCGCTTCCGCCACTGTGTTTTTTTTTCTCGGGCCTTCACCAGCCGGGTGCGAGAGAGACGGAGCGACGCGTGAGCACGCTGTTTGGGATCAGGAAGCAGCGTGCGCGGGGTTCGCGAAGGCAGTAAGGAAATATGGCGCCGCCAAAATTGAATCCAAATGCCTGGCGGCATGCAAACCGCAGGAAGGAAGGAGGTCGCTTTATCGTAGAAGGCTGGGAGAGGGAGAGAGAGAGAGAGAAATTTGAAATTTGAAATTTTGAAATTGTTTTTATTGAGGGTTCATGTAAAAGGACTAAATAGTCCCACTGTAACATAAACCCGCTCTCATTACAGTAGTTTTAATTTTGAGCAGCAGGTGACTAGAAAAATAATAATAATAATAATACTTATAATAATACTTATAATCACAAAAGAATGTATTGTAGTACAATCACGACATTAGGATGTTAAAAACTGTATTCTTTACAGTCTTGTATGTTCGATGTAACAAGTTATAGAGTTTGAATTGATTCCAC